GCAAGTATGGGACTCCCAGTGAATCGAACACACACATAGACACAAACACACACACAGACTATATATATATATATATATATATATGACCTCAAAAATCTACCCTATGTAAAAAAAAATAATGTTGTTTATGAATTCTTATGTCTTTTGTGTCTCTTACATTAACAATCAACAAACAACATGAGATTCTTACATAGGCCGCACATGCACGACACTCTCTCGTAGATTGATTTGTCAGTTGTCAAAATTTTCCGCAGTTTGTGCATACCTAGATGAACATATGACAAATAAGCAAAATAATATTAACGTGAAACAAATTTTAGTCTATAACACACAGTAAAAAAGATTCCAAATTGTTGAAGATGTTGCAATATGAGTGAAGTATCAAACATTAAATAAGATCTCTTTCTCTGTAGGGGACCAAATAAATATATATATATATATATATATATATATATATATATATATATATATATTGTTGTGACCAAGTAAATAGTTAAAAAATAACAAGACAAGAGGTTGCAGATAAATAGTGTATTGAACAGTAAATACAACAGAAATGTGTTACATGACTTGGGAGTGTGTATCGGTTGACCTGGGTTCAGTCTATATCACTGTTGATATTTATTACCCCCACCATCACCACCACCACCACCAACACGAGGGTAAATGTGGCACAAGGCCGAGTTTAACGCCCAAAAAATCCCCATAGAACCTGCAAAAACGGGTTCGGGCCCGTCTACTTTTCAAAACGAGACTCTGACCTTCGGCACAGCCTCGTCCGGGTTCCTGTCTGCCCAAGGCAGAGAGTTCGACAAGAGCTGCGAACAATCACAGCCTCGGTAAAACAGTCTATATCACGGTTAATATTTAACAGTCCCCCCCACAAGGAATACATGTGGCACAAGGCCGAGTTTACCGTGGGTTCTAGGATCCCGTAGGTTCGGCCAAAAATATTCCATTAGAACCCGTATAAACGGGTTCAGGATCTGTCTACCTCCCCGGACGAAACTTTGCCCTTTGGCAAGGGCTCGTCCGGGTTCCTCTCTGCCAAAGATAGAGAGTTCGATAGTTGAACAGTCTAGCACTGTTAATATTTAACAGCCCTCCAACACACGAGGAATGTATGTGGCACAAGGCCGAGTTTAACGTGGGTCATCCGAGACCGTAGGCTCGGCCAAAAAATCCCCATAGAACCCGCAAAAACGGGTTCGGGTCTACCTCTCCAAACGAGACTGACCTTCGGCACAGGCTCATCCGGGTTCCTCTCTGCCCAAGGCAGAGAGTTCGACAAGAGTTGCGAACGATCACAGCCTCGGTAGAACAGTCTATATAACTGTTAATATTTAACAGCCACCACCACGAGGGATGTATGTGACACAAGGCCGAGTTTACGGTGGGCTCTCCAAGCCCGTTGGCTCGTCCAAAAATATTCCCTTAGAACCCGCATGAACGGGTCAGGGCCTGTCTACCTCCCCGGAAGAAACAAGGTAGAGTATAGGGAGGGGTTAATTTCATATTTCACGATTAGGTCACTCCTCCTACCCCAATATAAAACATGCTTAAGAGAAATATGAAATTAACCCCTCCCTATACTCTACCTTGTCTCGTTAACTACAACTACCACCCTCCCTGTTAAATTACAAAAATTACACTACCCATCAATTTCTAATCCCATTTTTCCTTTCATTTCGTTGTTGGAAGTGTTACCTGATGATCCGGAGTCCTTCAAAAAGAATTTTGGTGAAATAAATTATTGTAATGGTACCTTAAAGTGGTCTGTTTTTCATTAAATATTAGCTCTGTATTCACATTGAGCTCTCAGGATTTCATCCTCCTTGGAATTACCCATTCGGTTTACCAAGTTCTTCGTAACTTAACTGTATATATATATATATATATATATCCGAAAATAATACATCAGATTTATTTCTACAAAAACTACAAAATAAAAGGGGGAGCACACTAGCACATTTGGATAGACCAAGTTTTCAGCTACAAATCACTTTTTTTCCACATAGGTAACCACAATTGGCGATGTATTTTGCTAAGGTTAATCAGATATTACGATACGCTAAGTATACATGTTTGTATGTCTGCGTCTTTGAATATTCCGGCAAAAAAAGCGATGGAAAAAAATCTTTTTCCATAGAGTGAAAGGAAGAAGAAATTAGCAATAATGATAACGATTCAAAAAATAAAATAATAATGAAATGGTAGATGTATGAGCAAAAAGATATGTCCTTTTTCTCGTTGTTAATTTATAGAAGATTACTTCTGCCGAAAAATCGAATACTTCCAATTATGCAATATATATTCGCTGAAATACCAAATCGCGCGGTAGTATTCGATCATTATTGTTTTTGTCTGCTCTTATAAAATGCCCTTGTGCGATACGCATGCGTGCAGCGAAACTGGCTGAATATACCATATTTTCTTGTGTATAATATGACCCCGTGTTTCTGAAGCTAAAAACGGAATAAATTACTTCCTTGAGTATAATATGACCCTGTAGTACAGCCATCACTATGTAATTTTTTGTTTTAGAAAAGTTGTGATATCTTCTAGTCTGTGACATAAAAGTTTTCTCTCCTTGCCGAGTGACAACTGGTTTATTGATAGTCGCTCGTCTCTGCAAAATAGAGCAAATCCATTTTATCTATGTCACTATACCTCCTGAAAACGGAGAACTTTCATGCCCTGCGTTGATCTGGTTCTTTTTATTGGAGATCTAAGTCTGGACTCTTCTCCATTGTGATCTTTTAACTCCGTGTCGGATTCTTGCGAACTATCCTTCATAGTTTCCTTACTACTACGTTTTGCTTTGATCTATCAGAAGCACTCATACTTTCACTCTTTTCATGTTCCTCCGCCTTTTTCATCTCGATTCTTCGTCGTCAATTCTAGGTCTTATTTGATCAGAATGAGCCAATAAATTCTGTCCACTCGTTGCTATTATAGCCGTATCACATGTTTTGTGCAATAAAGTTAGCTTTTTAAGGACTTTATTTTCTGTCTTTTTTACCACATTTTTTCATCTGTTGAATAGGACATTATTACAGGCGATCTAATTTGTCTTCCCATCAATGCAGATAGACTTTGCATTCTACCAGCATGTGGAACAGTTCTATAACTCAGTTACTGTCTCGTAGTCTTCCAACCCCATTTTCACCATCTGCGCCATTCTTTCTGTAATTCCATTTGATTGCTGGTGGTATGGTGGTGTTTTATAAGAAAGGCATCCAATTTATAAGGGAGCTATCCAATTCGTAAGCGAGGCGTCCAATTTATAAGGGAGCCATCCAATTTATAAGGGAGCCATCCAATTTGTTTTAATCATGAACACAAGGTTTCATCGCAAAATTCTGATGCATTGGTACCAACTTTCTGGAAAATATTATTCATAATATTTGCTTTACCGTGGCTATTTTCTTATCCTGAACTCTAACCATTTCAGGCCATCCAGAGAATGAGTCGACCAAAAGTAAAAAGAGTTCTATGAATTTAATATGCGCATGATCCATATGAACGCGGGCCCCAGGGATCTTTTTCTTTATGCCATGAACATATCTTGGTTTGGTGAAAGTTTTTTTTCTTATTTCTCTACATTTTGGGCATTTTTGTAAGTATTTTTCTACATCACACGAATATCCAGGCCACCACAATTCTAATTTTAATCATCACTGTATTGCTTTTATTCCACAATTAATATAATAAAGTCAGTCAGTTATGTGGCATGCGTGATACACGCTTAGGCGATCATGTATCTTTCGATACATGACTGACGAGGCAGATTTTTTCCCGCAGTACGTTGCCATTTCTTTCTGCAGTAGACTAGTGGCCATCCAAGGCTATAGAACCCGATCTGTCCTGCTATTTACTAATAGCTGGGAGGAGAAGAAGAATACTCATACCTTCCCCAAGGGTATTAGCATGTTAGTGAATGTAATGGATTCGACTGGAACTCGAACTCGGCTCGCCGATTCCTCAATCCGTACCGATATCCATTACTGCACCATTACTATAAATACACACACTTTTTTATTACATATTTTCTTAATCTCTCTGGTGATATTAAAACATCTCCATTGCAAATAAGGCCTTTCTCTGTAGTTAACATGTGCCTTATCTCTTTATAGGGTTTCTTCCATTGAACAATCACTACATTTATATCTTTTTATTCTACATGCAATCTTGCTTAATACCGGGTCCTTTAAGGTTTCAAATACAAAACGATCTAAGTGTAATACATCTGTTTCAAACCAGTGCAATAGTTTATCTTTCTAATGGTTCATCAGTAGCTTGTGTACATAATGTATTATTGTTTCCTTCGGCCCTTGTTTGCTCGCGAGAAAACTTCTCAGTAATAACCAACTTCCTTTTCGGTCGCAAATTTCTCTTTATAATTTTATAAATTTTATTATTTGTGATAAGCTCAAATACTCCAATTCCCTGGGATACGCCATGACAGAGATCTTTCTGATGGCCACACAAAAAGAGATCTGTAATCGCGTTCTCTCCTCAAGAAACTTTGATGTCTTTTAACTTCTTTGTCCGCGCCTGGACAGCAAAATAATGAATCCATGTATACACAAAGTTCGGCTCATCCACCGGCGACGTCATATTGTTGTGATGCCTTCTAGTCTCTCTGTGACCGGTGACGATAGACTAATTAGTAGACGCTCGACCCCAGGAAAATAGGGCAGGTCCATTTTAGCTGCACCACTAGAGTTTCCATTAAAATATCGTACGTATATTTAATTAACATATTTAATTTTCTGTTGTAAACTGTGATATGCGATTGGTATAAAGAGCTTACATTGAAACACTGGTTCTCGTACGATCACCGAAGTTAAGCAACGTCGAGCCTGGTCAATGCTTAGATGGGTGACAGCTTGGTAATAACATGTGTTGTAAGCTGTGACCACTTGCGAATATTAGGTGTTGTAAGCTGTGACGTACCATTAGTATAAAGAGGCCCTATCACGTTGAAACAGCGGTTCTCATACCGAAATGAGCTTACGGCCCTATCACGTTGGAACACCGAAGTTAAGCAACATTGAGCCTTGTCAATGCCTAAATGGGTGACCGCTTGGGAATATTAGGTGTTGTAAGCTGTGAAGTGCGATTGGTATAAAGAGATTACGGCCCTATCACTTTGAAACACCGGTTCTCGTGCCGAAGTTAAGCAACGTCGAACCTGGTCAGTAGCTAGAAGGGTGACCGCTTCTAAACGACCGGTACTGTAAGCTTGGATGTGTGGTGTAATGGATAGACATTACTGACAAAATTTGACTATCGTAATATGAATGCATTTTTAATTAGTTTATTATAGAAATGTATTGAAAGTCGGGAAGAAGGCTATATGTCTATCGTAATATAATTTGACTTCATTGCTATTGATTTTAGTGATGAATTTTGATTCGAAAGAAAGGAAAGGGATTGTCAGTGGTCAGGAATTAATATAAGCGTCACGGAAAAAACATGGTTATCATAAGATAAATACATTTTTAATGATTTTGATAACGGAAATATTTTGAAAATCATGAACTGGGATAAGTATTGATGAATTGAAAATTAGGAGGAAAGGTATTGTCTGTGGTCAGAGATTAATACAAGTGTTACTGACAGGACATATTTATTATATGTGTTATTATTATTATTATTATTCACTCTTCTTTACTTATTTTTTATTTTCTTTCTCATTCTTTCCAATATTCTTATCGAAGTCATCTTTTTTTTTCATTTGTAGGGACGAAAAAAAAATGTTGAAAGGTACTCCAAAGTATATGCCACACTGATCCGCCATCTAACATCAGGTTTAATCAAAATCGCTCTCCCCCTTCATCTCTCTCTCCTTCCGTCTTCCCGGCATGCTCCTCGAAATCTGCTTTAGTTGAGCTAATAGGACGACGTTTGGCGGTGGAATATACTAAGAGTCCGGCCTTAATTTGATGACATATAAAATCGTGTGGTACTTACAGCACGCGACTCCTACCTTCAGCTTAAAGTACAGAAACCTGTTCAAAGACTGCCGTGGACTATAGCAACGGTCGACAATCTATTCATGTCTCCCGTAGTAATTATCAAAGCACATTTGAAATCAGCGAAACGCTTTGCAATTTTTCCACGAGAATAAAACCTTCGGTACTGACATCCCCACAGCTACCGGTGGTTAGACGCCAAAAACAGAACCGCAGTTTATTTATGTTTTGCAACAAATTTCACCCTGTACAAGGCCCAAGAGCCATTCGAGGTAGAGAGTTACAGAGTGAGGGGTAAGAGGCACATTAGGATATGTTGGGCAAGATAAGTGTTAACCGTAGACTTGAACAGGTTAAGATTATGGTGATCGGGGAAGCATACTCTTGCTTTCATCGGTTCCACAAAACAGCATTTCGTGGGAAGAAGCTGTTCGAGTGGAACTTAAATCTTATCAATAGAATATGAAGGGAATGTGCGTAGCGTGGTGGGTCTTTGTCATGGCGGTTAGAACTGGTGGAATTAAGGAATGTAGCTCATCTGAGCACTTTCCATGGAAATAGCAATAGGACAGTGCGAGTCTAGCGACGTTTCGTGTCATCGGAGCAAATTAATGTTTTTTATTGATATTATATGTGTAGGATTCCCACATCTCTTGGTTAGGATTGTAGTGACCGGGGAAGCATCCTCTTGGGAGTTGGTTCCACAAATTAGAGGTTCGTCTGAAGAAGCTGTTCGAGTTAAATTTACACCGAACTAATGGAATAACATCAAAAACAGACAGCTGAAATTTCTAGGATACATAATGAAGAAAGAGGGCTTGGAAATTCTGACACTCACAGGACAGATTGAAGGCAAGAGGGACAGAGGAAAACAACGCATAACATCGTGCGATTGACTAAATGGCAGGTAGAACAGGGTTTTGGAGAACTAACAAAAAGACAAAATTTATTAAGGACGGGAAATTGTGGAGAGCCATGATCGCCTACGTTACGAAGAAGAACAATAGTGTACAAAAGGAATGGTAGTGCCTCGTTACAATGTGCGTGACATGTCCGTGAAGATTAGCACTGGTGAAACAAAGGGATGTCTGAACACTTTGCACGGAAACAGTCACTGAACCGCGCTGGGCTTGCCACGTTTCGTCTGTGGGAAAAGGGTCTAGTCACTCAAACGTCTGATTCACATTCCTTTTCGGTCGTTTGTACAGGAGTAGGAGTTTATCCCTAGATTCCTGTTTAGAATTATGTTTCCGGTTCCTTCTAAAGTCTTTTCGTTCTCTTTCACTCCCAGTAGGTGCTTGCGTCTTAGTGGCATTATCGCCTTGCTCGGTGTAAGTTCGCTGAAAAAAAAAATCTCACTAATAGAATAGGAAGAGAATATAGGTAGTTCGCCAAAATCGGCGTGGTATTGCTGGTCCAAGCCGTGAAGCTTAGAACTGGTGAAACTAAGAAATGTCGCACGTCTGACGACTTTTCGTGGAAATAGTGACAGAGCAGCGAGAAGCTAGCAATGTAAGTAAAAGGTTACAGAATAAGAGGCAGAGTTTATGCGAATATGTGGGAAGGATAACGGTTAACCCTAGAATTTGAACAGGCCTAAATTGTAGTGATCGGGAAAACATCCTCTTCGTAGACGGTTCCACAGAGCAGCGGTTTACGGAGAGAAACTGCTCACCAATGGAATACGAAGTGAATAAGTGTGGTCCGCTACAATGTGCATAGCATGGCGGGTCTTAGGCATGAAGCTTAGAACTGGTGAAACTAAGGAATGTCGTACGTATGATTACTTTTCGTGAAAATAGCGACGGACAGTGAAAAGAGAGTTATAGAGAAAGAGGCACAGTTTCTGCAGAAATGTTGGGCCAAAGTTGGGACCACAGAAGTAAAACACGGAACACGGATTAGATGTAAGAAAGATATATTAACAACAGGTTACAGAGATAGTGTAAGCAGAGCTTACTATATTACTCTGTCACTCTCTATGTCCCTCAGTGTGACTCTCAGTGTGACTCACTAGAGTGCTATGTCGCCTACATAATATAGTCCTGGAAGAGTCTATTGTGTAGGTAGTTTCCGGTCTCACAATAGAAAGATGACGGTTAACCCTCAACTTCATCAGGTTAAGATCGTACTTATCGGGAAAACATACTCTTGGTAGTTGGTTCCTCAGAGCAGCGGTTTACGGGAAGAAACTGCTCGAGTGGAACTTACATCTCACCAATGGTATAGGAAGGGAATGAAGTTGGTTTGCTGCAATATGCGTGGCATGGCGGGTTTTAGCCGTGAAGCTTAGAACTGGTGAAACCAAGGAATGTCGTACGTCTGACGACTTTTCGTGGAAATAGTGACAGAGCAGCGAGAGGCTAGCAATGTAAATAAAAGGTTACAGAATAAGAGGCAGAGTTTATGCGAATATGTGGGAAGGATAACGGTTAACCCTAGAATTTGAACAGGCCTAAATTGTAGTGATCGGGAAAACATCCTCTTCGTAGACGGTTCCACAGAGCAGCGGTTCACGGAGAGAAACTGCTCACCAATGGAATACGAAGTGAATAAGTCTGATCCGCTACAATGTGTATAGCATGGCGGGTCTTAGGCATGAACCTTAGAACTGGTGAAATTAAGGAATGTAGATCGTCTGCACATTTTCCATGGAGATAGATGTAGAGTATATTGTCGGTGGGCATAGAGGTTTTGAAGGCAGATTGATAAGTCGGTGTGAATATAGAATTTGAATCAAGTCTTCTTATTTTATATACCTTGACACTTCAGGACGTTGGCGATCGAGGCTCTCCACAATTTTTTGTCTTTGAAGCTCTTAGTAAGTTTTGTCTTCCTGCTATCTTTCATAATCGCTGTTCTGCAACCATTAAGACGACCTCCTTAGGTAGGTTATTTGCTGCTTTCGTGAGTATATCTTGCATCCAGTATGTCCTCTAAACCGTAGCTTTTTCGCTTATGCCGTCTCTCCTAATCCCTGTTCAGCCATTCATTTACACGACAACATTAGGTAGGATATTCGCTGCTTCCCTCTACCCCTCTTTCCTTCAGTATGTATTCTCCTCTGTAGCTCTTTCGCTTATTGACGTCTCTCCTTGGGTTACTTGCTGGTGTCTTCTGTCCCTCTTGATTTCAGTATATTCTCTCTTCTGGAGGTCTTTCTCTTACTGCCGTCTCTCCTAATCCCTGTTCTGTCAACCATTTACACGACCTCCTTAGGTAGGTTATTCGCTTCTCTCCTTTGTCCCTTTTGTCTTCAGTATAACGTCTCTTCTGTAGCACTTTCTCTTATTGACGTCTCTCCTAATCCCTGTTCTGCCAAGCATTTACCCAACCGCATTAAGTAGGTTACTCGCTGGTGTCTTCTGTCCCTCTTGATTTCAGTATATTCTCTCTTCTGTAGGTCTTTCTCTTACTGCCGTCTCTCCTAATCCCTGTTCTGCAAAGCATTTTCACAGCCTCATTATGTAGCTTATTCGCTTCTCTCCTTTGTCCCTATTGTCTTCAGTATATCGTCTCTTATTTAAGTCTTTCTTTTATTGACGTCTCTCCTAATCCCCGTTTTTCTAAGCATTTGAACCTCATTACGTAGGTTATTTGCTGCTCTCCTCAGTCCCTACTGCCATATCCTCTCTTCTGTAGGTCTTTCTCTTATTGCCGTCTCTCCTCATCCCTGTTCTGCCAAGCATTTATACAACCTGATTATATAGGTTACTAGCAGTAGAGCCTGGCGTTGCCCGGGGATATAACAGTAAGAGATAGATCAAGTATCCACCATCATAAAGACTGAAAAATAAAATTGACAAAGATTATTGTTTAAGGTTGACGGACACGCATGTCTTAATTAGTTTTTTTGTTTTGTTTTGTTTTGTTTTGTTTTGTTTTACGAATTGGTCAAACCCAAACTGAAACAAAACCATTGTTTTCAATCGTTATGAGTCTACCGATTGAATAGAATTTTATTATAAACAATTGTCATGTAAATGAAATTTTAAAAGCATTCTGAATGTAAAAATAAAGAAAAAATGTGCAAGACAATAAGAAACACTACCTGCCAAAAAAAAAGTGAAGTTTTGTTGAAATCGGTTGAAAAATATAGGATATCCGATCCCATATATAAACACACACACA